GCTTCCCGGGGAGCCGCCGGCGCCGCGTCAGGAGGGCGGGCGCCTGTGCAGGCCTCACCGCAGAGGAAGGAGGGCTTTTTTAGTGGGCTCGGGCTTCATCGCTCCCTGCGGAATGAGCTTATTTCGATCCGCACGGAAGTGATTTGCGTGAGCTCAGTGGTGCGAGTTGGCAGTTAAGTAAAGCCTTTTGCGTTGATACAGAACGGTAGCACCGTGATGATTCACTGCCCTGCAAGAACTGCAGTTAGGGCCGGGTGGTGCCTGCTTAACCCTGGTTGTACCACCGACACGGTGCAGCCGGGGCGAGGGTTCGCTCCTCCAGCCATCACGCTGCGGGCCCACTGCAAGCACCGACGCCAAGTGCCCCGGCGCGCCTTCAATGAGGGGTGCCTGTTGCGGCCTTTGCAGCACCTGTGAGCAAGCCAGGTGCTTTTCCAGCCTCGGATGGGTGGGGCGGAGAGAAATGGGATTAGCTGTAACGGGCTTCGTAACGCGTGTATCAGTACAGAGATTGCCAGTAGGGTTCTGTGTTGTCTGCTGACCTCTGCCCGTGGGAGAAGGGGTATGGCTGGCCATTGCACTGCCTTGTGTCTTCGTTGCTGCACCTGCTCGTTGCCAGCAGCATTCCAACCACCATTGCCTCTGTTCAAGCATGGTGGCCCTGCATAAGTCTTCCCTGACCTGCTCCATTCAGACGCTGACACCCCCACCCCCCCCAGTATGTTCCTGCATCTTGTCATGTGGCTTTGCTGTGTGACCGGCCCTCAGACGAGCACTGCAGTTTGGGAGTTTGCAGAGGGAGCAAGGCTGACAGCTGAGGGAAAAGGCTCCAGCAATGGCGGGTGTGCCATGCCTGCTGCTTGGCTGCAAAGTGACAGCAGGCAGCAGTGTGGGGTGAGGCAGGAGAGAAAGATGAGTGATAAGGGCTGTGTAACCTGCTGCTGCGTGAGTGAAACTTGATAAGAGCCAGGGCAGGAGAGCCCCCCATGAGGCCCTTCAGGACAGAAACCTTCCCCACCCTCTCTCCTCTCTGTGAGAGGAGAGCTCCTGCTCTGTTCTCCTCCCCATGCACACTTAGAAAGAGTTTCCCACATGCCTTGTACATTGGCTTTTAGGTGAAACAGTTGGACACAAACCGTAGCTTTCCAGCCTGATGACAGACCATCAGCATCTCAGGAAACTTTAAGTCAAGGCCAAAACTCAGAATGGGAGAAACACCTGCAGACATGGCTGTGTGAAAATAGTCAAACAACAAAATGTCACCCACTGAGCCGGCCAGCATGGCCCATAACTTGCAAGGATCTGAGCAGGGAGGAGAGTGTGTGTGTAAGGGAAGAATGTGGCCATGACCTTCCAAACAGGGAAGGAGAAATGAGAAAAGGGATGGGGGTGTGGAGGGGTGTGTGTGCAAAAGTCATCTTCCTGGTACGTGGCATGCCCAGTGGCCCCATGCCCACAGCTGCTAGGAGAAAGGGAGAGGCCCAGCTGGTCATGACATCCCATCTGGAGCTTGTTGCCACCTGCTTGGACTGGGTGCCTTGGGTGATCTGCAGTTGACAGGGGCAGGGGGTGGTGCGGGGAGGTCTTTGGTGAGGTCTTCCTCTGCAGCTGGCCCAAAGGTATCAACATGGGAGTGTCATTTTGTGGTGGCTCTGAAGGGAACTGGTTACCGGCAGGAACTGCTGTTCCCATGCCAACCCCCGCTACCCCAGACCAAGAACTGCTTCCTGGAGGATCCTGCCAGTGACTACATTGATGGCGTCCCTCCTCTCTCCTCCTGCCTCCCCAGAGCCCCCCTTCTTCATCAGAGGAAGAGAAGAAAGCATGCTTGCCTCTCCTGGAGGGACAAGCCAAGGCAGTCTGTGGCTAACAGCTGTCCTCCCACAGCCCCTATCTTCCTGAGGACACCATTTTCTAGAGGATGGTGGGAGCACTAGGACAGACCCATCCTTGCCTTGACTTCTGACTTTGAGGAACAGGCAAAGTGAAGCTTTGAAGAATTTGGCCCACCAGGCCCTGGCAGGCTACATCCATACAGCTCAAACCCCTGGAAGCTTCCTCTCTCTCCTATGGCCTGTTAACTTCTGCAGTAGCAGAATAGTTAGAAGCACAAGGCACTTGGATATGGCGGACAGGACCAGAGCTGGAATTTCACCAGTGGGAGCAGAAAGTATCTTTGTTGGTTTTGCACTGAATGGAGGAGAAAGAACTTGATGCTTCCGGCGCCTCTGGAGGTGTTCAGTGAGGCCTTTTAAATACAGCATCATGGCTGTGTGATGCTGAGTTTTGTTTGCTTCACTGCTATTTGCAGTGAATATGGCAAAAATTACCCACAGTTTACTTTCACTAGTTCCTCTGTTCCACAGAAATGTTGTGGGCTCATGCTTCTACTGGAAACAGTGGAATGACAACAAACATGTCAGAGCATGGCAGTCTCTTCCCCACCTCTTCCCAAGCAACACACTGCTGAAGTCCTTGGGCTCCCCTCTAAAACCAAAACTCTGCAAGCCGTTCTGTACCTCCATAGCCTTCCCACAAAGCCCCAACCCAACTGGCTGCTCAGTTAACTGCTCAGGATGCCACATTTGATCTTCAAGGAGGTGGTACATGGCAAGAGGAAGCCTCAGGAGCAGGACACCCCTTCTCTCCCACTCACAGAAGCAGCTGAGGGAGAGTTATCATTGTGAGCCTTTTCATGCATGGTGACATGTGAAGGGAGACAGGGAGCAGGAAGGAGTGTTACCCTAAATGACTGCTAACTGCCTTCAGTTTCCAGTATGCCCCAACAAGCTGCTGATGGCTTCCAGAGTATTTTTATGTGCAACACCACTGCCATGTCATCAGCCCTAACCCACTGTATTTGGGGAGGAGGAAGGACTGTGCAGCAGAAGCTCCAGGCACAAGTCCCTCACATGGGGCAGGCTCTGGGTACTCGCTCTCTGCCTTCAGTAGCTGCTACTTAAACATGGTTCCTCAGGGAACATTTTTTTAAAGACCTAACAGACTTTGTGGTACTACCACCGATGTTTGTCACCTCTCTATAGCTCTGAGACCAATGCAACAAGCCTCACACACCTCTTCTTGCACAGCTTGCCCCCCCCCCCCCCCCCCCCCCCCCCCCCCCCCCCCCCCCCCCCCCCCCCCCCCCCCCCCCCCCCCCCCCCCCCCCCCCCCC